GGCCAGGGGCTGCAGCAGAACGAGGACCTTTATCCTGATGGAGGACTGGCCGACTCAACCGCGGCATTGCTGCCCAGAGGTTCCCTCGAGGACGGGCACGCCATGTCCCGGGTGCAGACGCGCGAGGACCTGACGTCGCATGAGCTGAACCTGTCCACCCAGATCTCGGCCAAGGGCATCGGGATCGGGTACATTGCGGGCCTGTTTCTGCAATGCGTCGCCATCTTCATCCTGATCCAAATGAAAAACACAACCTGGTCGCAGCGCGTCGTGCTCTTCGTCATCGGCGCTTGGTGGGCCATCTTCACCGTCCCCGCGGCCATGTGGCTCCGTCCCCGGCCCGGGCCCCCGTTGCCCGCATCCTCCAACCACAAGGGCGGCGTGCGCGCCTTCATCTCCTACACGCTCTACGCCTGGAAATCCCTCTTCCGCACCGTCCAGCTCGCCCGGCGGCTCATCGACATTGTGCTCTTCCTCGGCGGCTGGTTCCTCCTCTCGGACGCCATCGCGACCACCTCGTCGACCGCCATCCTCTTCGCCAAGACGCAGCTGCACATGGAGCCCTGGGCGCTGGGCATGATCAACGTCATCTCGACGACGGCGGGCATCGCGGGCGCCTTCTCGTGGTCCTACATCTCGCGCCGCCTGCGCCTGCAGGCCCACCAGACCATCCTCGCCTGCATCGCCCTCTTCGAGATCATCCCGCTCTACGGCCTCGCCGGCTACCTGCCCTTCGTCAAGAGCTGGGGCGTCTTCGGGCTGCAGCAGCCCTGGGAGATGTACCCGCTCGCCGCCGTCTACGGCTTCGTCCTCGGCGGCCTGAGCGGCTACTGCCGCTCGCTGTACGGCGAGCTGATCCCGCCCGGGTCCGAGGCCGCCTTTTACGCGCTCTACGCCATCACCGACAAGGGGTCCAGCGTGTTTGGGCCGGCCATCGTCGGCGCCATCATCGACGCCTCGGGCGAGATCCGACCGGCGTTTTGGTTCCTGGCGGCCCTGGTCGGCTTGCCGGCGCCGCTGATCTGGTGCATCGACGTGGAGCGCGGGCGCAGCGAGGGGGAGAAGCTGGCCGAGGTGATTGAGGGGTTCAAGGTGAGGCAGGGCGCTGGGGGCAGCAGCGGGAGCGCGACGGAGAGCGATGTGGAGAGCAGGGCGATTCTGGATGTGTATGACGAGGAGACGGATCGGGATCGGTGATGGGTGGAGGAGGGGGAGGGGTGTGTGTGTAAGGTGGAATGAGGGAGAGTTTGTTTGTTTTTTGCGGGGGTTATTTACAGTTGGTTTTGATGCATAGCGCTGGCGTTCTGTTGGTGTTGGTGTTGGCTGGGTGCTAGGTGTGTGTGGTGGTGGAAGGGATGAAGGACGTGGATTACATTTCTGTTGGTTTCAGTTGCTCAAGTTGGTTGTTGCTTCTTCTGAGGAATTTTCTGTTCTTTACCTCAGCCGTAATGTAATTTCTGAAGAGAAGGAACGGGTGCCATGCACTCCGTCTCTTGAATGCCCTGAGATGTTGGCGAGGAGGTGTTGGCTCGGTGCACGGCTTAATTCAGTGGCTGCATGACGACTGCCGACGCTGCGACGGAGCTCCAGCTCCCAAGGATGGGGAAAGGTGGCCAACCAGCAGCAGCCCAGCCCAGCCACAGCATTTCCCCATTTCCCCTCGCGTCCCGTCTCCTCACTTGGCCCAAAATCACGTGGCTGGGCCCCATGTTTTTTCTGGCCCGGGCGTGGCGGACGCGGAATCCGGAAATTTTGCTGTCATCTTCGTTGCGACAAGACAGTGCGGTAAACAGCTGCCATCGCCCATTGACGCACGACCATCGCTCACCTGGCCGGCAACGACTCGGGGAAAGCTGTCTGGAGCTTGCGCCCGCTTTTTGCGTGCTGGAAAGGTCTTTGAGGCCCTGAGTTTTGGTCTGCGGGTGTTGCTGGTGTCTCCCGTGTCAGCGCTTTCCCTTAGGTTCCCCAGCCACCGCAACCTGCGCACTGCTCTGCTCCTCCCCGCGCCGTCGCAGGGACCTCGCCGCGCGCTTGGGGCCACCCGTCAACTCTAACTCCGACTCCTCGCAAGCTGACGCACTCCAAACAACCTTCACCCTTCACCCAACACCCGTCGACGATTTCCCAAATCAACCCTACGCGTTCGTTTCCCAGCGGCGCATCACCTCCCGGGCGCTGGTTTCCCCGTAATCCACACCGCACGCCGTCAACCCAGCAAAGTCGTCGCATTCCGTCCCGGGCGGCGATTCATCAAGGCGCATCCCCCGTCCCAAACACTCCCGAGCTACCGCGTCGGCGCGCAAGAGGCCGAGGGCTGAGCCCGAGGACAACCGGGCCGAATGCCCATTTTCCATCAAGATTGTCGACCCCAAGGACAGGGACCAGAAGAAGAAGAAGCGCCGGCGCACCGAGAACGGCGAGGAGGAGGACACAGCCCAGCGGATCAACCTCCAGCTGTCGCCCTTTGCCCCCTGCGGCAAGTTCAAGACGTACGAGTCGATGGATCTGCACTACCAAGTCGACCCTGGGAAGAGATGGACCGACATGACGCGATACAACAGCTTCGTCCGTGAGTTCAAAACCGCTCCCATGTTCCGAGTCCGCCCTGGGACGTATCGGACTGATGACTGACCCATGTCCCCCACCTCATAGTCAACGGGATCAAGTACTTTAGCGAAGGCTTCATCTACGTTGCCAACGACTTCAGCATCGAGCGACAGAAGGCCGTGAACAACAACGAGCCGTTGCAGCCGAGGAAGAAGTCGGATGACGACTGGGTTGCCCGTATCCTGGAAATCCGCGCGAGCGATGAGCATCACGTGTATGCGCGAGTCTATTGGATGTACTGGCCCGACGAGCTCCCGCAAGGGACGCACGACGGCAAGAAGACGATCCAGGGCCGCCAACCATACCACGGCATGAACGAGCTGGTCGCGTCCAACCACAGTAAGCAGCTCTCTTGATAGTGGCGCAGTGGGACGATACTGACACGGGCGCAGTGGATATCATCAATGTGGTGAGCGTTACCTCGCAGGCGCAAGTGAAGCAATGGTTTGAAGAGAACGACGAGGAGATCCAACACGCGTTGTATTGGAGGCAGGCATTTGACGTGCGGACCTACGAGCTTTCGGTACGTCTCAGCCAGTTGTCCACCTCCCCGAGCTGACATACTAATCCTGCCCCTTCCCAGTCGGTCGACCTTGTCTGCAGCTGCAACACCCCCGGGAACCCCGACAAGCTGCTGATCGGGTGCACGACGGAATCCTGCAAGAAGTGGATGCACGAGCACTGCATCATCGAGGACGCGCTCCGGCGAACATACAAGCGGCTGGGCACCGACAAGCCACACGTGGCAGAGGTGACGACCAAGAAAGAGGAGGAAGGCGATGAGGGCAAGCGCCCATTGAGCCCTACCGAGACTGGCGCCGACGGGTCCACCGAACACTCGATCGACGTCAAGGCCGAGGCCGCTCCGTCCGACGCAGTTCACGTTAGCACAAAAGACAACGTCGAGGTTAGGCAGGGGGGCGACGACGAAGATGCCCAAGCTCGCTGCCGCGCGGACTGCTGATGGCCGGGCGGCGAGCGAGAACACCAACAACACAGACACGCCAAGCAAACCAGCCGCCGCCACCGCAGGGAGCAAGTCAACGCCCGGCCGCAAGCCCGGCAGGCCGCGGAAGAAGGGGGCCGAGGCGAACGGCGACAGCGCGCGCCCCTGGGAGGGCCTGTTCGAGGCGTCGCTCAAGACGGCGGACATTGGCCCGCCGGTAATCGAGTTCAGGGACCTGCGGGAGGGGATCGTCGGCGGCGAGAAGACGTGGACGGAGCGCGTCAAGTGTCTGCTTTGCGGGGACCAAGTCAACTAGTGACCGACCATCGGACCCCAACGGGGGACAGGTGTCAGGTGCATGTACAGTGCTGCTACTTGGAGATTCTGGCTGGGATGAGAATGTCGGACGGGGTAGACAACTAACCCTGCCGTGGAGGAGGTTCGGCGCAGGGAAGAAGGAGGCGGATCGAGACGCCGAAGGCGTGTAACGACTTCTTCGAGAGGGACAAGTCGCCTCAGCCGCTGCACTCATCGCGCGTCGGCCTCCCTGTTTTTCAATCGACTGTTACCGGGGGCAATACCTTACGCAGAGGCACGGGCTTGGGGGACCGCTACCCCGCCAATTACGTTGCGGGAAGCGTTGTGTGCGGTTATCTTTGTACACGTTGGACGAGAAGAATTCTTCACGGGGCTTGGGCGAGTTGGGTGTCTTCTAACGGGAACTGGAGTAAAAGGGGCCGACTTCCGGATTTCAACTACTACAATGTGGGAGAGGAGGGGGAAGAGGGGCGGGTGTTCTGAGGTATTCTTAACCCCCCCACCCCCCTTTCGGTCCTGCTTGGGTGGAGGACAAGAGGCAAGACGCGACCGGGTGAGGGCTTGGGGAGGGGGTAATGTGAACTTGGTGGATCCTGGGGGTTGGGCTGGGTTTGGCTTTTGCTGCGAGTCGGGCCTGTTGACAATACGGTTCTACTACCCTTATCTATTCCGTACAACTACCTAGCTATCTAGCGATTATTGACTGATGCAGGAGGCGTTTTCTTTCTCTGTGCGATTTGGGTTCTCGGGTGTGGGAGAGGACCGGGTGATCTGGAAGGACCGAAGAGGGGCTTGAACGGGGTATTTGGGTGAGATGGCTCAGGTTCACTCTGTACTGGGCCTGGCGCTGGGCTTTGTCGAGCCAGCGACGTGTTCGGGAGTCAACAACAGGAAAAGTCGTGGCGGGTTGTTGATGCGCTTTGGACTCGCACTGCATCAAGTCCATTCCCCAGGATCCTTCAGGTCACTCCTGCAATGAAAACCATTTAATTGAAGCATCCTTTTTGGCTGCTCGAACCTGATCCCCTCGTTTTCGGCACCAACCATCACCACCGAGTCTCGTAGATTAACCATCTCTTCGGATAAAGAGGGCAAAAAGTGACGTGACCGAGATGTCAGCAAAAGGAAATGACCGTGGCAGGGCTCGAACCTGCGATCCTCTGCGATTTTTGTAAAGCAGATGCCTTAACCACTGGGCCACACAGCCTTGAATGATTGGACAATTTTTGGCAAGAAGAGGTCTTGAGCCAACGCGCAATGCTGTCGATTCGCCTGATTGGCTGTCGTATCGTCTTGATGCAGTTCCCGAGCTCTCTTTGACAAAAAGTTCGGACCCTTCGTACATCGAGTTGAGCAACGCCCAAACCAAAGCACAAGCACATCATGAGGGGCATCCGAGCTGCCAACAGCTTATTGCGCTGCAATGCGGCCACTAGTGGACCCTTAAGGTTTGCAGGACACCACAAGGCCCTTCAGTCGTGATCAATGGCAAGCTAACCTTCTCGTCCGCAGGACGACACCGTCCTTGATCCAAACCCTCTCGAACCCGTCAGGGTGCCGCTCGACACCCCCATCCCACGCCGCCCCCGCAAGCCGCGCCCCATGGCAACCCCCAACATCCAGACCCTTCTCCCACACACCATCATGCCAGAAGAAGGGAAAGAACTCCAAATCCGCGGCCGCTCCCGCCAGCGCTGACGGCGCCGACCGCTCCTCCTCCTCCACCACCACCAAAACCCCCGGGGCCGACCCCAACGACCCGGACGCGGCCAGCCCCTTCGACTTCACCGATCTGCAAACCGCCTTCTCGCGCACCGAGGCGCGCTACCTCGACGACCTCAAGAAGCTCCGCGGCGGCGGGCGCTTCAACGCCGACGCGCTGGGCGCGATCCCCGTGCAGCCGGACAAGAAGTCGCCGCAGACGTTCCCGCTGCGCGAGCTGGCGACGGTGGCGCCCCTGGGCGGGCGGCGGTGGAGCATCCTGGCCTTCGAGGAGGCGTCGGTCAAGCCCATCGTCAGCGCGGTGCAGCGGTCCGCCGAGTTCAACCAGCAGCCGCAGCGCAGCGAGGAGAACCCGCTCGAGCTGACCATGACGGTGGAGCCCGAGCGGGCGGACGCGCTGGCCAAGCGGGCCAAGGAGGTGTGCCAGGCGTGGCGGACCAAGGTGCGGGACGAGGCGCACAAGAGGGGGGAGATGCACAAGAAGTGGAAGGCGGACGGGGTGGTGCTGAGCGATGATTTGCATAAGCTGAAGGGGATGCTGCAGAAGTTGCAGGATGAGAGGATGAAGGCGATTTTGGCCAAGGAGAAGGAGGTCGTGGCGGCGATTATGGCCAAGGGCGGTTGAGATGCCGTGTCAGAAAGGTGGGGATTGGTTGGGTAAGATAGAGTAAATGTGTGTGTTCTATATGGGACGATAGATACCTCTGTACAAGTAGACTAAACAAAAAAAGACAACGGGACCGAGTTACATATTGTGTACACTGGAGATGAGCCCTTGTGACGCCACGCATCTCATCTTCTTGCCCTCCCACACTCTCTCGCTCATTTCCGGGCCTGAGCGGCAGGCTTGCCACCACCCTGCGCCGGCAGCAGCGAGAGCACCTTGTCCATAAACTTTTGCGAGTCCGCCGACATGTAGGTGAAAGACCGGGTGTGGTAGTTGGCCATCACGGCCTGGACGTTGCTGAGCTCGGCAAACTGTGTCGTCTCGTACTTGCCGCGGATCGCAACGTCGACAATCGCCTTCTTGGCCGCGGCGTCGGGCCCGGCGATGCGCAGCTTGGGCTGGGCGCTCTCAATCCACGCCTTCTCCTCCTTGCTGTGCACAAAGATGGGCTTCTTCGCCTTGTACCGCTCCATGATGGCCTTGACGTCGGCCGTGACGCCCGAATCGGCGTTGAACGCCATGCCGCCCGTCATGAGGCGCATCGTCCGCAGCGCCGTCTCGACCTGGCCGATGGGCGCGTCCGTCGCGAGGGCCGCGCCGTACCCGCTCAGCGAGTCGAGCGTCACCTTGGGGTCGAACCGCACCACCTCGCCCTGCTCCAGCCGGTCAATCACCTCGCGCTCCGCGTCCGACCACCGCACCTTGCCCTGCCCGGGGCTGGTCTCCTTCTCCTTCCGCTTCTCCCGCCCGCCCGCAGCCCGCCCGCCGCGTCCACGCGCGCCCCCGCGCCCTCTCCTGCCGGCACCACCACCGACACCACCGAACCGCCCGGCACCCCTCGCCGTCGCCCCCCCGGCGCCGGCGCCAAACCGCGACTGGAACCCCCCGCGTCGACCAGCCCCAGCCCCAGCACCACCAGCCCCGGCCCCGGCCCCAGCTGACGCCCCGAACCCAAAGCGCGGCCGCCGCAGCTGCGCCCCGGGCCCCGCGTCCCCGCCGGGAGCCGCGGCGCGCCCGCCCGCCAGGCCAAACGCCGTCCGGCCGCGGAACCCGCCGCGCAGGCTGCGCACGTTGAGGACCCTAGGCCCGCCGGGGCCGGCAGCGGCGCCGCCGCCGTCGGACGGCGAGACGCGCAGCGAGCGGGCGTCGATGCCACCGCCGCTACGTGTGCTGCTGCTGCTGCTGTTGTTGTTGCTGTTGTTGTTGGATGGGAGGCCGGGGATTTCGTCGAGGCCGCCTTTGTTCGGGGATGTATTATTGCTGTTGCTGCTGCTGGCAGGGGCGCCTTCGGAGCGGGAGTTGCGGCGCTTGTTGAGCTGGGTGAGTTTCTCGACGGCGGCGGTTTGGGAGCCGTTCGACTTGGTGGTGTTGTTATTGCTGCTGCTGCTGTTGTTCTCGGCAGGGCGGGAGGTGGTGGTCGAGAAGTTGAAGAAGGAGGCGGGTGTTGGCGTGCTGATTGGGGTCAGGAGGGCCCGGTGGCTGCCGGCGCGCCCGAGGGCGGACCGGAGGGCATGCCGGTTCATGGTAGCTGTTGGAATTGTGTCGATGACCCCGCGATGGAGCGACGTGAAAGGCGTTGTTCTCGACTGGAGGTCGGTTCGAGCGGTCGGTCGTTGGTCGGCCTTTGGAGCGAAAATGGATGCACGTTCGGGTTGAAAATGTTGGAGGTGGTGTGATTGGTCAATTGGCTGGATGGTGGGGCCGAGCTTTGGGACCGTAGACTATCGAGGGGGTTGCTTGGGCAGCTTGGAGCACGCAACCTTCAGCGGGCAACCTTAGGACGCGCAGAATTCTGGCCGTAGCTTGTGCATTGTCTGAGATGGATCAAGATTGATGATCCAAAACAAATAGCTGCAAAGCACCCAGTTTCAAAAGTTGTCTCTTCATTCTTGGGAATTTACGGCCGATCTAGACAAAACGAAAGTTGTTGCCAAAAAGTTCAGTTTCTGACCGTGACTAACGTTACCTTGAACAAACCTTCAACATGCTCGCTTTAGCTTTCTGTCAATGAGCACAGAAGCTTTAAACCTGAACCCTTAATGTCATTTTGGCGAAGGAGAAAAATTGGTTGAGAACCTGAAGATAGCTGCTGGCAACCTGGAGCTGCTCTCTCCTCCTGGTCGTGTTGGGTGGAGTACACCGTCGCCAAAACACCACAAAAAAGGAGTGGAGACGCAAAAACATACAACACCGAGGATTCGCTGGTCGTCACCGACCCAACTACTGATTCGGCTCTCACGCGTTTGACTAGGGGAGAGCGGACGGGATCCCGTATTTTCGTGCGGATATGGTAGTATGTGACAGAAAAGAGCAAAGGAGGGCTTGATAAAGGGGGCAGAGACGGGATGATTGGAGACCGGGCACAGGTTCGCGGTGGACTCGCGGAATCCACGGGGTTAACTGTAAACTCGACTTCAGGGATGCACTCTATGAAGGGATCCATTCAGATGAGAGCTAAGGAGACCACTAGAAGCTAAATCACACATGATGGCCCTGTCAAGTAAGTGTTCACACACCCACCTCGGGTATGCGATGCTTGTCTTGGAAACCAGTCTATCAACTAGTGTCTGTTCCCTTTTCAATTCACTACGCCAGCCCTACTGTGTACTTCATGATGCCCTCAATAAGGTATCTGACTTGAAACGCAAAGATTGTCAGCTCAGACGACAACGTGCCTACCCGAGACATGCCTTCGCCGGTCTGGCCCATGGGACGACACACTTCCACAGAACCGGCGTAGGAAAAACAAGGACCCCAGTTTTGTCTAGAAATATCTATAGGTTGTTTATATGCCCAATATTAGGTATTAATGATCTAGGGTGACTTTCGAGCCTGTCAAGTAAGTTCTGACAGTCGACAAGGCATTGTTGTTGAAGCAGTCAGTCAGGGGTAGCTCTACGGCATCCGACCCGTCCCTCAGTAAGATGAAGAAAACAACCTACTTTCATCTAACAGTCTGGTACTACCAATGAATGTGTCATGCCGATGGGGAATCCTGCACGGGTTGAAAGTCAAACCTGCAACGCCGTTTTACGCTGTAAGGCCTGACTGTTCCCATCCGTCTCCACCTCGGGCCCCGCTCCAGGTGGACGGGAAAAAAGAGACAAAAACATACAACACCGAGGATTCCCCAGTCGTCACCGACCTGAGTACTGATTCGGCGGTCGCCAGTTTATCTAGGGGAGAGCGGACGGGATCCCGAGTTTTCTGGCACCTATGGTCGTATGTGTTTGGAGACGAGGAAGAGGTGACTGATAAGCAGGCCGGTCACATATTGCTGTGCTCGGCGTGGGGTCTGTGAAGGGTCACGAGGAGCTGATCCACGGACTCATCCTCGGCGACGGAAGACTAGGTGCCAAGCCGAGAGCAGTGCAGATGGTACGATTCCTGCTCCATCCAGCCGATCAGATCGGATCAGATCATCGGGACGAAATCTCGAAAGGACACTGATTGATACTGTAGCAGTGGGACGCCCGCTCATGATCAGCGGACGTCTTACCGGGGACGTGAGTTGTCAGGTTGCAGAGTACTCTGCCAGATATTGGGTCTGCTGCAGCTAGGAGCGGTGCCTGCATGTCTCCCGGTGGCGACATTGCAGAGCCTAAATGCGCTCGAGATGCGCTAGAAGCTCTCTAGATGCAGCCAATCTACCTGGCGCCCGGTAAGCGAATAACGGCTTTCCAAGCGCCGGCACTTGAGTCTGCGAGGGCTGCTGGCGACGTGCGAAGAGGAGGGCTGGGCGGGAGCGAGTGAGGTCTCCTCGGCACGTCTTTCCGACTTCCCATGTTGCTCGAAAGCCTGCTTCGCGCGGTGGTGTG